TGGGACATGGCCACACTGACCAAAGCTCTCTCCTGCCCTTCCCTGAGGCTCACCTCTGGGTTGGTGTACTGGGGGCGGGAGAAGGTCTCTTGGAACGCCTGGAGCTCCAGTGACATTCTCATCTGCAAAGTGGCCCTGTCAGTCCCTGTCTCAGCACACGGTCCTGAGGCCTGGAAGAGAAGAACAGAGTGCACGTCAGGTGTGAGTGGCCTGAGGAGAACTTGTTAATCACATTGCTGTTATTACTAACAGCTGGGTAGAATTACAGCCAAAAAGTTGAGTCTCGAAATACAATGTTTAGAGTGTAGGCTCAAGGTAGGATACAGATGCCCCTCCACTTATAGTGGGTGACGTGGCAGTAAACCCATCACAAGTTTAAAATATTCTAGGTCAAAAAGTATTTCACATCCCTGGCCTGCCAAATATCACCGCTCAGCCCAAGCCAGGTGACCATGAGGCGAATGCTTACAGCAGCCTCCTCCCGGGTGGAATCTGCTGACACAGGCCTGCTTTGTACCACGGGCGGAGGTCTCCTGTCATTGATCAAGCGCTTGGACCCAGCACAGCACCAGCAGCGCATCCTGGTTCTCCCAGGAAACCATAGCCAGAGGGCACAGCAGCATGGGCACACTACAGGGGAAAAGTCGAAAGCGCATTCTCTACTTAGCGCATATCATTTTCACACCATCACAAGATAGGAAAATCATATGTCAAACCATTATTTACCATTTTGTGTTTTGTGCTAGACATTTAACCCAGGGCCTCATGTGCTGAGACCCGGAGAGTCAGTGTGCCCCCAGCTCAGCAGTTGTCCATCTTTACCCCCCCAAGGCCTTCATGATATTTTGAACATAGTGTACAAGTCTGTTCCATTTGAGGGGTGGCTAGGTGGGCAGTTTTTTTTCTTCATAGATGAGTACCTGAATTTGTAAATACAAACATTCAGTGTGGTGCATTCTTTCCCAATCAATTCACCTGTCTGGAAACGAGCTCTGGGGTACATGGCAGCTGGGTGAGGTGCTGTGAGCCATGGTCCTAACTATTCCAGAGGCTGAAACTGTAAAGGCCTCACAAGGGACAAGCATGGCCTCACAAAGAACATGAAAAATTACTGATTACTCCCCCTCTTGTCCTTTCCACCTGCGTCATTCCGCGTTCTAGCCACTCCCTGAAACTCCCTGAAATGTATTGTTCCTTTCTTGTAAGTTGCCTAAAGTTTCTATAGTATCTCGGAAGACTGCTTCACAAAGACTTCGCTTGCCAACCAGGATGTGTTTTTTTGGCTTAAATACTGCTCCCTCCCCTGGTTTGGTGCTGACCTGATCCTACCCTGCGTGGAGGCTCTCAGTCAGTCACTGGCCAGCTAATAAAGGCTCATTCTAAAATCTCAATTGGCGATCCGTGCATTTTGGTGTTTGTCGGTTGGTACCTTGGTTTGGTTCTGAGTCCAGAACAGAGACAAGAGGATCTGGTTGTCTGACTATCTTTATTACTGGTGGTAAAAGCGGTAGACCACATACCCAGCAGGTGAAGCCCTAGGTTCAGTTCCCAGAACCCCTCAAAAAGGTACTACCGTCAACACCAGCACCATCATCATCACCTGCTTATCCCTCCCACGTACAAAGTGAGTGCTGTACGCGGAGCACTGAGCCCCCTACCGACTCCAAAGAGCACCCACCCTGCTTTCTGTGGGCGGGGATGTGTTTCCACATCCCAGGAAACACCCGCAGCTGCGGGATCAGCACCCGGGACAGCTGCCTCCTGCCGGGTCCTGGACAGCGGGCGCTGGGGAAAACGCTACGCGGGTCGGAAGGGACCGCAGAACTCCAAGGTTCAATTCTCCGCCCGCAACGGAACTGCCGCTAGTGAAAACCAGGCAGCGACGCAGTGTGGCAAGAGCTGTGTAGACGCTCTGGTTTGCTCTAACGACTGTTGGGGACCACCACAAAGTGGCTCTGAGCAGGATTTAATATTAACCAATTGGCTGTCCATGTTTACTTGTCAGTTGTCTGAAGCTTAGGCACCTTTCTGACAAGATAAGGCCATAGCTGAAGACGTTTGGCTCCAACCCCAATGAACTACCAGGAGACGGCAGCTGCAGGACCCACACTCCTACAGTAAATACCAACCTAAAGATAAGGTAGTTCTCCTGATTGACATATTTTACTACTTGGGAAAATTCTCCCAAGGTCCTGCAAAATTCCCACGTTTTCTTGAGTATCCTCTCCCTTTGTTTGAAAACCTAATAAATACGGGCTGCCTAGAGCAGTCTTTGGCTAACTCAGAGAATACTGAAGCTGTAAGAGAGTTAGTCCCTCCTGGTGCCCGGAAATCATTACATCATCTGCATTTTATTTAAGCCCTCGATGTCCACTCGCTTGGGAGATCGCAGGCCTGATCATCCTGCAATAACTCAGGGCTATTTAACCTGGTTTTTGATAAACGACTGTGCAGATTTTTATTCTTCATTCTGTTGTTATTTGGTAATTGCAGTTATTGTAACCTTGCTGCTTGGTTGGATTTGGACCACCCTGGATTTTTCTTCTTTCTTTCTAGCCTGTTATCATTGTTGTTACTTCTCTCTCTCTAGCTCCTCCTCCTTGGTGTTAGTTGATTATGATGAGGCTTTCCCCTTTGGCCTGCTCCCTCTTCTAGTGTGTCTTCCCTCCTCCAGCTCAACCCTGACCCCGCCTACACTTAGTCCTGCCCCACATCACCTCGCCTCCTCCCTCTAACTAGCTAATGGCACAAGCATAACCAGAGACCCTAGAAGTGCACTAGAGAATAAGAATTCATCATTGCTATAAACTAAACAGTGTCATTTAAGGCTATGTCACAATAACCCTTAACAAAACCGGGCTTGGAAGAACCAAACAAAATTTCCTGCAAACATATTAACAGGCACTGACAGTCTCACAGCCTGCCTCAGGCTTTAAATACCTCTGCACACATCCTCTGACCTGCACAAATACTCTCCCCAGACCCCCCAACACCGTCATTTACCCCAGCTGTAGAACAACTCCAACAGAGTCTGACTTCCTGTCTGTTTCCCATTTGGTTTTTTTTTCCGTTTTGTTTTGGTTTTTTTGAGACAGGGTCTCTCTGTGCAGTTCAGGCCAGCCTTGAGCTCACTTTGTAGCCCAGGCTGGTCTGGAACTCGCAGCGATCCTCATGCCTCAGCCTCCTGTGTGCTAGGATCACAGGCATGCGCCACCACTCCTGGCCTTGTTTACCTTTCACCTTGAGCTGCTTTTCTTACCTCCCTGTCCTCCCACTGATACACCCCCACTCTTTATCCTTCCCCTCCATGCCCACCACATCCCACAACCCAGGACAATATAATCAGTATGGGCATCGACAAAGAGTGCAATTATCAAAGCACGGTTTAGTGTGTATGACTGATGTATGTTTGGCAACTGTCTCCTTACAGCATAGCGACAGGGCCCATCCCAATTAAACCGAACGGCTTGAAGGGCTGGACAATCTGGACAAATAAAGCCACAAACATCGCTGGACTATCGGAGACCTCTGCGGTGGACTCTAATCTGTCAAGTGTTAAGCACATGGCGGGAAGAAAGAGCAAGAGACAAAATAGGGGTGCGGCAGGGGTCTGGAATGACCAGTTGTTCATGGGGAACAAAAGGCCATGAGGCACCCAGACCCTTGGTATTTGCTCATTGAGGAGAATGGTGAGGGGATTGCAGCTGGATGTGCTAGACAAGTGGGGAGGCTGGCAAGGTTGGTAACAGAGCATTCTTGTGCAAGAGGCAGGAGCAGCCAGATCTAGGCTACAGTTAGTGAGTACGCTGCTTTGCAGCCAGTCTGGGGAAGGAATTTTCCTCTGGAGTCATGCAGACCTCAGTGGAGACATCACCTCACATCTTAGCTCCATGGTGTCACAGCTGGTCTTTCTGAGCTCAACCATGGCCACTGATGATAAACAATGCTAGTCCATCATCAAACGCCTGCTTTCGTGAGGACACACACAGAGCTTTGGCCAGACCCACTAATTAAACTGAAAGTCAACTTAGGGAAGTCACCCCTACACAGCCTGCACTGCTCACGAGTATGAACAGTCACACTTGGGTCTGGGGGAGGGCGACATGGCGTCCTCCACACTGGACAGTACAGAGGTCCTCATATAACCAACAAACTCTTCTCAATCTATTTGACCTCCCACATAAGCACCAAAAAAAATATATATATAAATATATATGTATATATAAAATTATATATGTGCATAAGTTATATATGTATATATAAAATATATAGTTATATATACATATATAGTGTATGCGTGTGTGACATTTACACACAATGGAGTACTACACCATAAAAAGGATAAACTTGAATCATTTTTAGGAAAATAGATACACCTTGAGACCATAATGTAAAGTGAAGTAAATCCGACACAGAAGCTTACAAGCTCATGGTTTCTCTTATATGAGAAATTCAAAATATACATAAAGAGAAAAATAAGTAATTAGGGACAGGGAGTTAGATCTTTTGCAAGTGGGAAGGGGGCCGAAAGATAGAGCACGGGAGGGGAAGATGAAGTCAAAATGAAGGCGTGTCGTGTACATTTACCAGCTCCTCATGATGTATGTAATCTTTATGTACTGCAAAGAAGTACTAATAACAATTTTAAAATGTTTAAATGGTGGCCAAGTGTACATAAGTGAAAAGACGGCAGCAGGCGTTCGTGATGCGCTTCCCTTGGTGGGAATCGCAGTGAAAGGCGAGTGTACCCAGGCGGAATTCATTTCCTTTTTTTTTGTTTGTTTGTTTTTGTTTTTTGTTTTTTTTGGGGGGGGGTTTTCTCCGGTACCGGGAACCGAACTCACGACCTTGCGCTTGCCAGGCAGGTGCTTTTGCCGCTGAGCTAAATCCCCAGCCCTGGAATTCATTTCTAAGAGAATCTTTCTTTGCACCACCTTGTTCTAACAGATCCTCAGCTTCCAAACCCGACTGCTGTGAAAAAGATTTGGTTGTAATGTATATAATTTTTAAAACCCAGGGAAATTTTTATTTCATGGATTGTTAGGCCATTGTAAGCTGAAATGTGCTTCAAGAAGCCCACACACTTTTTCGTTAACCAGTTAGATGCATTAAGGAATCCGCAAGGGTGGGTTCAAAGTGTGGGTTCAAAGAAGGACCTGGAATGCCCTGCCACCTTCTCCACACCCCATGCTCGGCACGGTGGCTCCCTTAAGGAGGATGAGCTTCAGGGCTGGCATGGTCAATCATGTAGAAGCCGTGCTCTTCGATAGCCCGGTATAGCGTGATGTACTTGGAGGCCAGCCTCGTCCTTGGGACCACGTATTTCTCTGTGAACTCGGTCTTGTCCAGTTGCTCCTTGCCCTCGGTGGCCAGAATGCAGTTAATGAACATGAGGGAGTAGCTGTAGCAGTTGTGGTGGTCTTCCTCATACCTTCCAGAACAGGGCACAGAGAAGAAAAGGCTGAGATGAATTTACTGACTTATTTGAGAAAGGGGCCCAAGCTGACCTTGAATTGCTGAGCCCAAGGAATCCTCCTGCCTCAGCCTCCCCAATACCTGGGACCTCAGGCACATGCCACCACACTAGACTCCTGAGAAGGCTCAGGAACAGGCCATGAAGCTACAAAAGGATTTACCTAATGGAACTTGGCTATCAGTTAGCTGTGGAGCTTGCGGAGATGCAGTTATGAGGACAAGTGGCATCTTGAGCTACTTGCTGTGGAGGGACAGATAGGAAACACTCCCAAAGGGTTCAGGACGCAGCTGTGGGGCAACTGTCCACTGGGAGACCAGGAGAATCCCATTCTAGATCTTAGGAGTGAGATACTATCTAAGCTTATGATCTCCCACTGCACCTAAACCCAATAAAGGGAAGCCTAAGAAACCTTGAACTCTATATGCACTCTACACATCCTCTAAAGTATTGAAGGACAATAGAATTGAGAAATTAATTGCAAAATTGCTAAAACTAAAAAAAAAATTAAGTCTTTAAATATTTTTACATTTTAGGGCCAGGAATATAGCTCAGCGGCACAAGCAACTGCCTGGCAAGTGCAAGGTCCTGAGTTCAATTCCAGGTACCAAAACAAAAAAAATTAATATTTTTGCATTTTAAACATTGCTTAATTTTTAAGAGTGAGTTTTGCTGTGTATGTGTAAAAATACCAATTAAACAGAGTAAACACCAACTCAGTGGAGGGCATGATCTTGAGACAGTTCATCCTAATTGTCATCTTGACCAGATTGAGACCCGTCTGGAGAGGGGATTGATCATGGGGTGCTGTATTAGTGGATTAATCCTGGTGTCCACAGCTGAGTGTTCTGTGAGGAGGTGGGGCCCTGTTGGAGGATGTGGCCCCCACTGGGCCTTTGGACAGTGCACCTATCACCGGTGCTCTTTTCAAGCTGCTCTGCTCTGGGCCACCACGAGGCAAGCCACAGTCCTCTGCCACACCCTTCCACCATGATGGCCATGCTCTGGAACCAGCTGACTATGGACTGCACCCTCTGAAACTGAGCAAATCGAACTTCTCTTCATTTACACTGTGGGTGTCAGGTATGGTGTCTCAGCAACTAGGAAGCCAACCAAGACAGCTCTGATCCTTCCAGCTCTTACGTGCTGGGGCTGGGAATGCAGCTTAGTGGTACCACCCCCAACATCAGCAAGAAAACCCCAAAAAAACCCGAAGCTGAGGCTTTGCTCTGTGTATGCTGACCCCTGCAAAAAACCTGAAGCTTGCCACCCTGCCACATGTCCCCATGGTACTACACAGAGCCAGCCCGACCACAAAGTCACCCACTTACCTGTGCGGAAGCCAGGCCTCATGGGCTGAGAAGTCCTCCAGGTACCTGTCCCACTGGTCCTGCAGCCCCAGCATGCCAGGCTGCAGGAGCGGCACAACCAGGCTCTGCTCCCAGCCTGCCCTGTCCCGCCGCACGCCACACCTGTCATAGTTGTACACCACTCCTGCGGACAGAGCCAGCAGCCTTCAGGAGGGGCACGTCTGCGGGGAGGACCCAGCAAAGGACAGAAGCCACCCTGGGGCTGTCCATAGTGGAGAGCAGGGTCACACTTTCCTCTTGTCCCCGTGGACAGGGGCAGGTACAGGGGTGAGAGTCAGCGTCCCTCTAGTAAGAGGCAGGGGGTGATATGGGCTCAGCCTCCCACTTTAGCAGCCCAGCCTTTCTTTCAGGGACCCCGGTTCTTGCTCTGCCCACTGTGGCATTGCTCTCGTGAAGTGGGAGACAGCTGGCAGGGAGGGTGCAGCTCAGTGGCAGAGCATGGGCTTAGCAATTCTGAACCCTGAGTTCATTCCAGACAGGAAAGACGGGTTTCTAGGTGGGCTGTCCTCTTGGTTTGGGCCAAACTGAGCGTAAACTCATCTCCTGCTTCACCATGGTTTTCTTTGTTGGTGGGTCACCAAATTCAGTCAGGTGAGACACCCAGAGTCAAGCCTCTGGCTGGGGTGGGTCCCTGACCACAGTTTGTGGTACAAACCAGGCATGTTGACACTGAGCAGACTGAGGCAGGAGGACTGCAAGATCATCGCCAGCCTAGTCAACATTACAAGACCCAGAGACAAGAGAAAAATAAAAATGGGTAGTACAGCCAGGCGTGGTGGCACATGCCTGTAATTGAAGCACTTGGGAGGCTGAGGCAAGAGGACTGCCACAAGTTGCCGGCCAGCCAGGGCTACATAAGTGAGCTCAAGGACAGGCTGCACTCCACAGCAAGGCCCTGTCTCAAAAACAAACAAGAAAAGGTGATACAATTGACTGCAGGTGAGGATGTGAATGTTAAAACGCAGTTCTAGGTTTCAGTTTAGGGAGTTTCTCCTGCCTCCAGGGGAAAGACCAGAGGCTTGCGCTGCTTCCTGGAAAGGGCTCCCCCTGGGCCCTTCTGCTACTGAGGAGGCTCTCAGGTTGCAGAGCCTGTGATCTCAGAGCTGTACCTCAGCTCCTAAATTTACATCCCCAGCCCTTTTCATTTTCAGACAGGGTCTTGCTAAATTGCCCAGGCTGCCCTCAAACTTTCAATCCTTCTTCCTCAGCCTCCCAGGGTGCCATGTTTACAGGTGGGCACCACCACACCTGGCTCCTCTTTTTTTTTTTAGTGAACCCCTGTAGGCCTCTGACACATGCTGAGGAGTTGCACCTCATGTTATTCCTGGAGGCAGGCACGTGAGAACCCGTGGTATTGGGTTACCATGGGGTTGGGGAATTGGGCCTGGGTCCAGAATCTGATCTGAGGGCCGGGCGTCATGGCACATGCCTGTAATCCTAGCACTCAGGAGGCTGAGGCAGGAGGATTGCTATGAGCTCCAGGACAGCCTGGGCTACAAAGTGAGTTTAAGGCCAGTCTGGACTTCATAGCAAGACCCTGCCTCAACATAACAAAACAAAACAAAACTCTGATTTGGACACAGGAAGTGAGATCTTGGGGAACTCAACCTTTCTGGATATCTGTTTCTTTTTCCTCCCCTAAAACCCAAGGAAAAGTGTGCAGGTTTGTGAGGCTTTTCGATGAGAAAACACTGCTGCTTTTGAGGCACTTGGGTGTGGCCCATGGTACCCCAGAGCCCAAGCTCAGCATGCAGCAGCCCTGGCTCTGTCCCGGCGCCAGGGAAGAGCAAAGCGCCTGCATGGGCAGTGTGAGGGCAGCTGTCCCGTCTCAACCTGCAGGAGCAGAACCGGGGCATTGAAGAATCACCATTTGAACACGACCGAGAGAAATCACATTGCCTCTAGAAATGCCGCTGTCCTCTAACTCAGTGCTGTGTTTATTTTCAAGCTAGAAAAGAAAGTGAAAATGCTCTCACCATTTGTGTTAGTTATCCCAACGTGAAGATCGGACCTTCCGTCATACTCCCTGAAAGAAACAGGTATTATTTTTTCTTTTATGGAACGGAGTCTCTCTGTTGTCAGGGCTAGTCTTAAATCCTTGGGCTCAAGCCCTGCCTTGGGGCTTCTGCCTCAGCCTCCTTAACAGCTGGGACAATAGGTGTGCACCACTACGCTGCTGTATTATTTGTCCAGTGGACATATGCTTGGCGTGAAGCCTTCATATTTAAAATAAGGGAGCAGGGTGGGCCAGGCCCCGCCATCACTCCGGGTGAGCAGAAGCTGGGTTTGAGAGCTGGCTGAGTGACAGTGCATCTGATGTAGAAAATGCTCCCATGGCACTCCCTCAGTCTGGCATTCCAAAGGCCAGCCCTCCTGGAATGGAAATTCAGCACCCACCTGGCTTTCACAGGCCTGCCTGGAAGTTGGTAAGAGATTATTATTA